CTCCCCATAGGGGTAGAGATAAGCAAGGGAAACTCAAGTGACTGTTCATACTGTTTAAGATTACTTTCAAGATGCTCTGCAACTATAGAATGAGTTTCCCCAGTATCGAATAAAACATATATACTCATATCATCAATAAGGAGATGACCAGAGACCATACCAGTAGTGGGTTTGTCTGCTGATAATGTGAATACTCGACCTCTGGCGGTGGATTGCTTTCCCTTGTCTTTAGACTGACTTGTCCCTGAAACTTTAGCCGCTTGACCCACTTTACAATTTCTAGCCAGATGACCTCGCTGACCACAATTAAAACATGAACCGGTCATCCGAAGGCACGGACCCGGTCGATGTGGTAGATTACATTCTTTGCAAACAGTTGGAGGAGTCACGACTGAAGGATTTGAACTTGTAATACTCTGAGATGACCCCGAAAATATGCTACCACCAAATCTCCTTTTATCTGAATTGCCTGACTTAAACTTGTTGAAACTTCCCGATGACCCGTCATGCTTTCGCTTTTTATCTTTATCGCCCTTGAACTGAATGGTGTCGAGTCGTTCCCTTTCTATATTTCGTGCGGCGTCAGCAACCTGAGCAACTGTAGTAAAATTTTGATTGATCAACTTTGATCTGTACTTTCCATTAAGTGACCATTTAAATTTTTCAGTTTGATGTGATGCAGTACCCGTAATGATACCCGCATAACTTGCCAAACGCAGAAATCTTAGTCGATGATAGACTCATCATCTCGTTGACGAATAATAGCATATTCTCGACCATACGCATCTTTGTCAGAATTGGAGAAATATTGCTGATAAAAGAGCTCCTTGAATTCTTCCCAAGTTAGAGACCCAATATCAACCACCCCAATATGGGTCTGTTTCCACGCGTGCCACCAACGGTAGGCGTTACCTTCCAATTTATATATTGCTAATTCAACACGGATATGATCTGGGCAACCCAAAACTCGAAATATCTTTTCCAAATGTATGATCCAATCTTCGGCATCGACTGGAGTAGCTGTCGAAATAAAACCTCGAGGTTTCTGTTTGTGAAATCGTTCAAGCCATAGATGAATCTCTTGGGAATTACCCCCAGTGTCGGTTCTTTGACCTTGAGTCTCTGATGGTTGGTTCACAAGGTTTGGGTCTTGACCCTCGTCAGATTGACGGAGTGCTTCTACAGTTTGTGCTACCATACTTGGTAGCATTTCAGACATAATTTGGTGGATTGTTGCCATAATGTTAGGATCGATTGGCTGGGTTGGTGGGACATTTGATGCATTTTCTGGCCCAGTTTGATTTCTTCTAGGTCGTCCCCGTCCCCGTATTGGTCCTTACAATCTCGGTGGCATATTGAATTACTACATTTGCCATTTAATTTTCATTAAAATCAACAATGGATACAAAGAAAACATGAAGCATAATTGCAATTTACGAAAGCAAGAATTGAATTATAAAAGCAAGAATGATACAATTAAACTATTACAAGGGGAAACTTAAATTACCCGATCCTATTATTACCCATTCCTCACAAATCAAACTTAGTCTTACTACAAGATCTTAACCTATAGCTCTGATACCATAACTTGTAACACCCTTGTCTCGCATGGCCGGAAGATGGTGTGTTACGAAGGAAAACATAACAAGATAAATAGCTAATATATATATACAAGATAACCAGAGTTACTATGAACATCCATCAAAAGAACGTGGTAGACTAAAAGTTAAGACAACATGAATATAGTTACAATATACATACATAAACAAAAACTACTATACTATCCAAGGTCGTCTTCAAAATAGTCATATTCCATCGCTCTCAGTCCCGTGATAGTCCCACCTATGATCATGTACCTGCCGAGGACAAAACAAACCTCGGCTGAGCCAAATGCTCAGTGAACGGATAATTAAAGTAGCAAGATTGCAAGTATAAATCGAGTTAATAAAAGATAATAATTATAAGGAATCCGAAAACCAGAACATGAAGGGATCAATTAATAATTGACATGAAATGTCCATACTAAAATAATTTAAAATAATATCGTCAAGTCAAGAATTGAAAATTAAATAAGAAAATCAATTGGGTTCGAGGGTTGTACGGACCACTCAGACAATGGAAAATGAGTGTAGGGCAATACACTCAATTCCTTTCCGATAATCGGCTCCCGAAAATGGTTCCCGAATACGGCTCCCCGATAACGGTTCTTAGGATCGATCCATTCGCCCTCAAATTAGCCGGTACCAGGCCAAACCCACTTATTGACATTGGGGTATAATAGCGAGGACGCCATGACAATTTATAGCCGCCATGGAGGCGTCACGACATCATTGCCCTTGATGTCATGCCTTAAAGCACAAAGTGCTCAAATCACCAAAAACATATCAATTCAATGTGAAAAGGGTAATCACACAAAATATGAAACTATAATTATATACAAGTGATAGATGCCGAGATGGTAATGAGATACAATATTGCTTCTATAATGAATTAATGATTAAAGAAAGTCATAAGAATCGGGTATCTGTACCTTAGACGACAATCGAAGAAGTAAACACGTAGCTTCTATCCCCTTGTTAATCCCCCTTTCTTATTCTAAGATTGGTCCTGAATAAGTTACACATGTTTATGACTGATTGATACAAGATCTCCGGATATTACAATCCTCAAAGCACAAAGTACAAGCGAAAGTAAAGCTATTAAATCCCCTGCACCAGACAGCTTTGAACCAACTTGACTTTGATCATTTTTCTCATATTTAGAGCAGCATTCAGGTGTTAATGTCTAAACAAAAGTTGTAGGCCGAATACTTAGGGTTCCAGTCGATTTGGATTCATTCCGTTTGGAGCAAAAACCTATTTTATATGAATTTTCTAAAAATAGTATGCAAATCCCATTTTTGCACAGGACCAGCTACATAAACCCACTGTTTTGAGCATTATGGAGGTAAAATCAAGTCTGAACATAAACTACAAAGTTGTAGTAGACACAGATACCTTTCCAACAATATATGTCACACCTCAATCGGATCAATGAGTGATTTTATATGAATTTTTAAACAACCAGCAGTACTAATGTTCCTATACACAGCTCAAAACAGCCCCTTTTGCATAAGTTTGACACTAATACCATCAAGAATAAACTATGTAGCTTACCATATTGCAAATAAATGATTAAAACTTAATTTATAACTTCTTTAAC